AGGGCAGGCATTTGGCCTGATGGTTAAGACTCTTGTGTCAGAATGCCTAGGTCTGATGCCTGCCTCTGGCACTTGATTCCAACTCTGTGCCAATGCAGACCCTGGGGCTGGGACCGGGTGAAGGGAGGGTGATGCTTCAAATGATTGGGTTCCTGTCATCCATTTGGGAGACCTGAAATGAGTTCACAGCTCCCAGAATTCAGCTTTGGTTTTCCCACCACTGCAAGCATTTGCTATGGGAGTACTCTCTGCCTATCCATGTGTGTGTCTCTCAAATGAATGAATAAATAAATTCATTTTAAAAAAATCTGTGGCAGCCTCATAGAACAGACTCTAAGAACTGCAGAGAAGTTGCACACTCAAGACTATGGGACATTACCAACTCCTACTCTCTCACATCCCCACATCCAACACAATCCTGATCGTTCTGTTTTCAAATTGCATACCAAAAGCCTACTATTTCTATTCTCCACACAGCAGTGGAATGTCTCTTTAAAAATGGAACTCAGCGAGTAACTTATCTACTCAAAACACTTCAAACAGCTCACAATCTCAGAATGAAGAGCTCCACACTTCAGCATATCTTATGTGATCTACCTCACCTCTCAAATGACTCTAACCTCATCTCCACCTACTCTCACTTGCTCCAGCCACACTGACTTCCTTGTACCTCTTCATCTTTGGCCTTTCACCTGAGGCCTTGGCACTGGCCTCTTCCTCTAACTGGAAAAGTCTACTATCTTTCAGCACCACCTCCACCACCACATTGCTGTAAGCCAATCATTGCATCACATCTGGATCATGACAAAAGCCTACTAATTGCCCCACCTACTTCCATCCTTGTCCTTCTCCTGTATGATAAAGTACTTGGATCAAGAAGACAACTCGGCCGGCGCCACAGCTCACTAGGCTAATCCTCCGCCTGCAGCGCTGACAACCTGGGTTCTAGTTCCAGATGGGATGCTGGATTCTGTCCCAGTTGCTCCTCTTCCAGTCTAGCTCTCTGCTGTGGCCCGGGAAGGCAGTGGAGGATGGCCCAAGTGCTTGGGCCCTGCACCCGCATGGGAGACCAGGAGGAAGCACCTGGCTCCTGGCTTTGGATCGGCACAGTGCGCAGGCATTTGGGGGGTGAACCAATGGAAGGAAGACCTTTCTCTCTGTCTCTCTCTCTCTCACTAACTCTGCCTGTCCAAAAAAAAGACAATTCAATTTTTAAAAAAATGATAAATTTGACTGAACACTTCACCAAAGACTGCAAATATGCATATGTAAAAATGTTACAAATCATTGGTCTATAGGGAAAAGCAAATTAAAAAATAAAAAGGTACTACTAGACTGGCACTAAAATGTCTATTTTTTTTTTTTTTTGACAGGCAGAGTGGACAGTGAGAGAGAGAGAGACAGAGAGAGAGACAGAGAGAAACGTCTTCCTTTGCCGTTGGTTCACCCTCCAATGGCCACCGCGGCCGCCGCGCTGCAGCCAGCACACCACGCTGATCTGAAGGCAGGAGCCAGGTGCTTATCCTGGTCTCCCATGGGGTGCAGGGCCCAAGCACTTGGGCCATCCTCCACTGCACTCCCTGGCCACAGCAGAGAGCTGGCCTGGAAGAGGGGCAACGGGACAGAATCCGGTGCCCTGACTGGGACTAGAACCTGGTGTGCCGGTGCCGCAAGGCGGAGGATTAGCCTAGTGAGCCGCGGCGCCGGCCAAAATGTCTATTTTTTTAAAGTAGTTTTACAATGGAAACAATCCAAACTGTTAAGGAGATAAATTGTGATATACCCATACAATAACATGCTATTCAGCAATAAAAAATGAACAACTATTAATAATGCAAGAACATGGAAGATCACAAAAGCATTGTCTATAGCAAAAAAAAAGTCAGACAAAAAGTCTACTAAGTTAAAAAAAAAAGAGGAGCTAATAAAAAGAAAGTCTACTAAGTGCATGAATCCATTTATATGAAATTCTAGAAAAGGCAAAAGGTTTAGCAACAGAAATCAGATCAATCTTTGCCATAAGTGGAGGGAATTGATTGAAAGAGATAGGAGGGAATTTGGGGGATAATGAAAATGTTCTTAAGTCTTGACTGTAGTGATTATTACACAACTCTGCATTTGTCAAAACTCATCAAACCGTACACTAAAAATTGGTGAATGTTATTACACGTAAATTATACCTCACAAAAGCGGATATAAAAATATTTAAAACACATACCTCTGTGTTATTTTAGAACTTCCTGTTACAAACTGCTTTAAGTATTGAAGTTTATAATACACATACAAAAGGGTATACAAATCATCAACATACACCTCAGCAAATTATCACAAAGCCCATTCATGTAAATATCACCTAGGGAAAGGAAGAGATTACTGTGAGTACTCCAGAATATCCACCCATTCTCTCCAAGTAGAATTTTACTACTGTTTAACCCTGTAAAAACAGTTTGCTGGTGCCTGTTTTTGACCTTTCACCTAAAGGGCATTGTGTAAAAAAGTAAAATTTGTGTCTCTAAAGAGACATCTGACTTCGTCCTGTGCTACTGGGAGTTGACCTCTAGTCCGTGAGATCTGCTGCCTAATAAGCATGTCTTTGTTACCTGGGGGTCTTGTGTGAGTCCAGTATCAGCTCAAACTCTTCAGGGACTGGAGGTTGAAAGTTAGCCACATGCACGGCCAATCATGACTGAGTTTTAAACCTCCAAATGCCAAAGCTGGAGTGATCCTCTCTGGCTGGCAACACTTATGTGTATTAGGGGACAACATAGCTGGGAGACGTCAGCTCTACAACTAGGCAGGAACTGAAAGCTCCTTGTGTGGCACTCTGCTGGACTTGGTTCCATGCACCTACTCTTCTGACTGATTTTAATTTGCACCTTTTGCTGTAATGAACAGTAACTATGAGTATAAAAGTTTCAGTGAGTCCTGTCAGTCCTTCTACCAAATTAGCAAACATGAAGGTGGTCATGGGAACCCCTGAACTTGCAGTTAGCACCAGAAATGTGAGTGCTCTTCGGGGCCCCTGAACTTGGTAATTGGTGTCAGAAGCAAGGACAGTCTTGGGAACCTATGAACTCTGCAAAAATCATGAAGATTACTTTTAGTATATCTTCTTTTGCTCAGCATTATGATTTTGTGATTCATTCATGTTGTAGCTTAAGCATAATTTTCCACTTTGCTTGTACAGTAACACACTATACGAACTGACTGTAATTTATTCACTCTACTGTTGATAGACATTTGGATTCTTTCCCGATTTGAAGTATTAGGATCAGCAGACCTACAAGGAAAAACAAGGGAATCTATAATCATAGCAGGAGATTCTAACATATCTGTCTCAGTTGGTAAGAACAAGCAAAAAAATCCATAAAAATACATTTTTAAGGGTCGGCACTGTGGTGTAGCAGGTAAAGCTACCACCTGCAGTACCAGCATCCTAATGGGCAGTGGTTCAAGTCCGGCTGTTCCACTTCTTATCCAGCTCTCTGCTTATGGCCAGGAAAAGCAGCAGAAGATGGCCCAAGTGCTTGGGCCCCTGCACCCACATGAGAAAACCAAAAGGAGCTCCTGGCTCCTGACTTCAGATTGGTTCAGCTGCAGTCATTGCGGTCATTTGAGGAGTGAACCAGTGGATGGAAGACCTCTCTCACTCTCACTCTGCCTTTCAAATAAATAAATAATTTTTTTAAAAAAAAGAAAATATACTTTTAAAACATTTATTTATTAATTTGAAAGGAGAGTGACGAGAGACAGGAAGAGAGAGATCTTCCATCTACTGGCTCACTCCCCAAATGACCACCACAGCCAGGACCAAGGCAGGCAAAAGGCAGGAGCTAAAAATTCCTTCCTAATCTGCCACATGGGTGTCACAGGCCCAAGTACTTGGGACAGCTTATGCAGCCTTCCCAGGTGCATTAGCATGGGACTGAATCAGAAGTGGAGCAGCAGGAACTTGAACCAGCGCTCTGATATCTGAAACTGATGTCAAAAGCAGTGGCTTAACTCACTGTACCACAATGCCAGCACCAGAATATTGATTTTAATGACACAATTGATGTATTAGACATAACTCAATACATAAAACGCTTTTAGGGGGGCCGGCGTTGTGGTGCAGCAGGTTAAAGCCCTGGCCTGAAGCACTGGCATCTCACAAGGGCACCAGTTCGAGTCCTGGCTGCTCCACTTCCGATCCAGCTCTCTGCTATGGCCTGGGAAGGCAGTGGAAGATGGCCCAAGTCCTTGGGAGACCTGGAAAAAGCTCCTGGCTCCTGGCTTCAGATCTGCACAGTTCCAGCCGTTGTGGCCATTTGGGGAGTGAACCAGCAGGTGGAAGACCTCTCTCTCTGTCTCTACCTCTCTCTGTAACTTTGTCTTTCAAATAAATAAGATAAATCTTAAAATAATAATGACTAATCCCCCCAGTGAATACTATAATCTTATACTATTCTGAGATCTATACAAGTATTATTTCAGTGAATTTTCATAGCATCTCTTCTAATTTTGTGACTAAAAAAATTGAGGCATAGAAAAGTTAGAGAATTTTTCATAATTCCACACCTAAAATACAGCAGATCTAAAACTCAACTTTCAGGAAATCTAATTCTAGAGTCAAGTTCTGAATTCCTATGATTTTTTTCAATTCCTATTTTCTCTTTCTTTTTGAGTAAAGTTTGATATTTCACAATTTCCTGGAGAACCACTGTTTCATCTAGATTTGAAAATTTATTAGCATCACCTGAATTTCAAATTTTGATAGAAAGTTCCAGAATTTGTATCAACTTAAAACTAATTTAGCCCTATATTCTTGCTTCCCATATCATGAATGCTATAACTTACCTGGGGCAACAGTACATGTGAATCTTGCACTAAAATTTCATAACAAAAACAATCATCACCTCATCTAAGACATTTTTGATCACCACAAGTTTCTAAAAGTTTGATGCTTGAAGATTAAAGATCACTAACATTGATGATATGAAACATAATTTTCCAGACAGATATACTTTTTAAAAATTCTTTTACTGTGATAGAGGAGTATATGGCAAGACAAACTTAAGGTAGTAAGTGACTGTACATTGAACATTTATGTAGTCATTATTACTTACAATGTCAGCAGTTAGAAACAATCTGCATGTTTTTTTCTCACATCAGCTCACTTCCCTTTCAGCCATTTATTTAATTTTATTTTTTATCAAAAGAATATTTATTAAAATTATTAAGAATTCATAGTGAAACAGGGTTGTATACATAAATACAGGAATTAGAAGGGAAAGCACAAGTGCTTTGCTCCTCACAATGCACCAGGTAAATACAAAATTGTACATATCTTGTGGTGTAGTTTATCAGCATTATTATTTTTACATAAGAAAATAGACAACCAGAAAGTTTTGTTAAGCATATAGTTTACAATCCCAGATGGAATTATAAGCAGAGATGCTTGGTTACTAAACCCTTACTTTTTCTACCCTGCCACCCAAGAGTAGCTTGGCAGCTTTCAATATTAATGTTGCACATTTATTCTCCCTGCTGGACCTTTTCCTGAGAATAAGAGGAAAGCTCTCCCAGAGTAGAAACAACATAATCTTTCCCATGACTTTTCCATTTCCAAACCACCATAACAACATCAACAAAATCACAAGTCATGTTCTGTAGTTTATGTGTTTAATTTCATGTATTTTTAAGAATTCTACTATATTTCCAACTTTTTCTATCTTTTAATTAATTTTTTTAAAGATTTATTTATTTATTTGAAAGTCAGAGTTACACAAAGAAAGAGAGGCAGAGAGAGAGAGAGGTCTACCATCCGATGGTTCACTCCCCAAATGGCCACAATGGCCGGAGCTGTGCCGATCTGAAGGCAGGAGCCAGCTGCTTCTTCCAGGTCTCCCACACGGGTGCAGGGACCCAAGGACTTGGGCCATCTTCTACTGCTATCCCGGGCCATAGCAGAGAGCTGGACAGGAAGTGGAGCAGCTGGGTCTCGAACCAGAGCCCATATGGGATGCCAGTGCTTCAGGCCAGGGTGTTAACCCACTGTGTCACAGCACTGGCCCCATCTTTTAAGTAATTTTAACAGATTCTATGTGATTTGTAGATACAAGTCAAAGAACAAATAATGATATTCCCTTCCTCCTTCCCTTCCTCCTTTCTTCCCATCCTCCTTGCTTCTACCTTTCTTTTTTTAACATAGTTTAAATCTACATTACAGTAAAAAGGCTTAATACTTCACCAAATAAGAAGTTTAACAAGTAAAAAGCAAAAAGACCCTAATTTAGTGGGAACATAGACAATGGCTGTGAACTATAATTGAATGGAAAAATGACCATTTCATTCACATACAGTTATTTTTGCAATTAGTTATTCATAATTTCTTTCAATGAAATAGAACCAATGCAACCTAAATAGAACAATGTAATATCTAAATGTTTCCTGTGTGGTTACAAGATAATAATTAAGTTCACTTATACTTTAATCCATCTCCTTGCAACAGTTTATGCACAAGAATAATTTTATGTAGATTTTAATGCAAATAATTATATATATATATAGTACTCTACTAGTTATCACAGATCAGGGAAAATATATGATATTTATATTTTTGAGACTTGCTTATTTCACTAAGTATAATGGCTCCCAGTTTGCTAAAGACAGGATTTCATTCTATTATATGGCTGTGTCATCTTCCATAGTCTATATATACCACATTTTCTTTATCCAGTCATCAGCTAAAGGACATTTAGGTTGATTCCATATTTTAGCTACTGCAAATTGAGCTGTAATAAACATGGTGGGTTACAGATAACTCTTTTATATGCTTATTTCATTTCCCTTATTTCATTTTCCCAGGAGTGGGATAGCTGAATCATATAGTAGATCTGTGTTCAGCTTTCTGAGGAATCTCCATGGCTGTCTTCCACAATGGCTGTACCAATCTGCATTCCCACCAACCAAGGATTAAGGAACATTTTCCCCACATCCTCATCAGTATTCAGTTTTCTGATTTATGTATGAGAGCCATTCTAACTGGAGTGAGGTGAAACCTCAGTATGGTTTTGATTTGCATTTCTCTGATGGCTAATGATTCTGAGCATTTTTTCATATGTCTGTTGGACATTTGAATTTCATCTTTTGAAAAATGCCTGTTCAAGTCTTTTGCCCATTTCTTAACTGGATTGTTTGTTTTGTTGTTAAGTTTCTTGAGCTCTTTTTAGATTCTAGATATTAATCCTTTATCAGTTGCATAGTTTGCAAATATTCTCTCCCATTCTGTGGGCAGCCTCTTGACTTTGTTAAATGGTTCCTTTGTAGTTCAGAAGCTTCTTAGCTTAATGTAATATCATTTGTCTATTTTGGCTTTGATTGCCTGTGCTTCTGGAGTCTTTTCCAAGAAATCTTTGCCTATACCAATGTCTTGCAGAGTTTCCCCAATATTATCCTCTAGTAATTTGATGTTATCAGGTCACAGATTTAGATCCTTGATCCATTTTGAGTTGATTTTTGTGTAAGGTGTAAGGTATGTGTGTTGTTTCATACTTCTACATGCAGAGACCCAATTTTCCCAGCACTGTTTGTTGAATAGTTTGTCCTTTCTCCAGGGGTTGACTGTAGCTCCTTTGTCAAAGATTAGCTGGCTGTAGATGCTTGGACTGGCTCCAAGCACTTGGGCCATCCTCCACTGCACTCCCGGGCCACAGCAGAGAGCTAGACTTGAAGAGGGGCAACTGGGACAGAATCCAGCACCCTGACCAGGACTAGAACCTGGGGTGCTGGTGCTGCAGGCAGAGGATTAGCCTATTGAGCCACTGTGCCAGCCTGTATATCTTCTGTCTCCCCTTCTAGAAAGTAAGCTCCATGAAGTTAAAGCTGTTCTTTCTTATTCTCTGCTCCATTCTCAGTACTTAAAATAGTAGCAATTAGGCCGGCGCCGTGGCTCAATAGGCTAATCCTCCGCCTGCAGTGCTGGCACACCAGGTTCTAGTCCCGGCACACCAGGTTCTAGTCCTGGTTGGAGCACCAGATTCTGTCCCGGTTGCTCCTCTTCCAGTCCAGCTCTCTGCTGTGGGCCGGGAGTGCAAAGGAGGATGGTCCAAGTCCTTGGGCCCTGCACCCGCATGGGAGACCAGGAGAAGCACCTGGCTCCTGGTTTCGGATCAGTGCAGTGTGCCAGCTGCAGCGCGCTGGCCACAGCAGCCACTGGAGGGTGAACCAACGGCAAAGGAAGACCTTTCTCTCTGTCTTACTGTCCACTCTGCCTATCAAAAAAAAAAAAAAAAAAAAGTAGCAATTAGTAAATAGTAGAGGTTCAATAAGTATTTGTTGAATGCAGTGCCTAAGTGTAGGTGTTATCTGATTTTAAAAGTTTTTTTTTCTAGAATCAAGACAGAGGGAGACAGATGGACAAATTGAGAGGGCTGACATCCACTGGTTCATTCCCCACATGCTCACAAGGGCTAGGGCTAGGCCAGGCCAAAGCTGGCAGGAACTCAATCCAGGTCTCCCACAAGATTGGTAAGAATCCAGTTACTTGAGCCATTACCAATGCCTCCCAAAGTCCACATTATCATAAAGCTGGAGTAAGAATTTTTGAGCCAAGCATCAAATCCAGGTACTCCAGTATGTGATACAGGCATCTTAAATGGCATCTTCACCACTAGGCCAAACAATCACCCTTTGATTGATTAAAATTTTACTGGGCAACCATTGTGTCATGTAAAGTTTGGTGATAAAGTGGTTAACATCTATGATCTTATGAAGTAAAAAGATGCAGACAAAATTTCAATCTCCTACTGATTGGGAATATTTTATTTAAATGCTGTAAAATCACTTCACTAAGAGTTGACATGATATCATTCAATTAGTAACATTTTATAACAAAAGATTACCTTCAAAATGCTGTATTCCCATCCAAAGATACCAAACATTTCACCAACTACTTCAAGTAATTTTGAAAATCACCCTTAGCAGTAACGTGAGAAGGGGCCTACACCTAAGATGTCAGCCAACAGCAGCAGACTGAATGTTTCCTAATTTCTACTTCCATACTTCTTGCAGGTATCCTCCTTCGTTACTTTTCCACACATTTTCTCTTTAATTAGAAATACAATTAATTAAGTCTCCTTTAAAAACAAACGCTGTGTGTTTCTATATGATTTGGTCATTTAAATAAATCAGAGCTTTTGAAGAATCACACACCAGTTTCCCTGATCATAGTAGCTTTGCAGAATGCTGACATTACTCAAAGTCTGGCAGGCAGCTTCCAGCTCTCCCTCACAGAACACATGGTAGTAACGGTGAAACACAGCACTGGTATCACAGGATCCTAATGGACCCAATGACTCAACAGGTTTGGCTTTCCCAGAGCTTCCCTTAAGGTGCCAGGGAACTAGAACATCTTGAGAATGAAAAGAAGTCCTGTTGGTATGAACAGGCAGCTCGGAATTAGCAACTTTGTTTGAATGACATTCTCCCTCCTGAATGTCACTAAAGCAGGGGACCGAAGATGCTGTGTCTTGATGGCCCATGTCAGGCATCTGCTCCAGAAGCAACCCTTGTGCAGAAGCGTCACTGCTTATTTCCTCTTTCTTTCCTTGGCTAATTCTGTTTCCTTTAAGATATTTAGACTTCTGTTTATTATATTCTTGTTCCATTGCCCAGACATAGATAAGTGCTTTCCCACCAGGTCTCAGGAGTCGAACGAGTTCTTGGAGAGCCAACACTCTACGTTCCTAATAAAGAGTAAATAAGTAAATATACAAACACATTGCCATTAAGCATTCCCAAGAGAGGAAATGGGAATATATAACTGACTGTAGGGCTGTTTCCATCAGAATGAACAGAAAGAAAATATAACAAAATGTCTTATATAAAGCAGGGGCTGTTTTGTGATTAAGAAAAAAAGTTGAGGAAGTAGAGAAAAGGAAATTTTTATTTCTGTTCATCTTCTCTATGGCTTTTTCCTTAACCAACTGGCTGGGATACATGAAAAAACTGGCCAGTTCTTATTGAGCTATGAGTAGTATACGAAGAACTTTCAGGTTGATCATTACATTTATATATACATTTATATAACACTTTTATAAAATCATTACATTTATATAATACTTATGTAAACTGTATTTTGAAGACTCTTATTTAGCACCTTGATGAAGTGTTCATATTAATTCTCATCACTTAAAACAACCATGAAGACTGGATGAAATACATGAGACAGCTGCTTCAAGGCATTGGTGACCAACACTACTGGCAGGACTTAGAAGGCTATGATCCCTGAGAGAAAGGGAATGAACCCAGGTGAGCTTACATTCACCCCATTTTTCCCTGAGATTATTTACTAATCTTACACTGTCAGGAAATGGTAAACATACCAAAGTCAGCTGGACTATAATGTAAAGGACAGATGTTGTAAAGGTCAAGAGTAATCATTAAAAAAACAATAAAATATTAACCAGCAAGCTAACAGAAGAGGAAAAAAATATAACAATAAACTATATTAAAACTATAAGCCTTGCCATCAGAGAGCTAAGATTTACACACACACACACACACACACAATTGACAAAAGAAATGGATCTTTCCAGTTCCATTCCAGTTCCACAGCACTTTTAGCCTCAGATAATGCCTTCAACTTTCAAAGCAACAGATACTGCACTGTACACCTAAGTGGCCCATTCAATATGGCCAAAAGATCCAGTAAGTAATCTCAAATTATATGTTAACATAGGAGGAAGCACTGTATATGTTATGGTAGTTAAAAGAGAGGATTTTAAGTGTACTCCTTTTTTATGCTGAATAATATTCCATTGTATGTATATACCACATTTTGTCTATCCATTTATCCATCAATGGACATTTGAATTGTTTCCACTATTTGGCTACTGTGAATAATGCTATCATGAACGCAGGTATACAAATATCCATTTGAGGCTCTGCTTCTAATTCTTTTACACCTAGAAGTAGAATTGCTCAATTACATGGTAACTCCATGTCAGATTTTCTAAGGAACTGCCACACATTTTTTCACAATGGCTGTGCTACTTTACATTCTCATCAGCAAAGCATAAGGTTTTAATTTCTCTACTTCCTCAACTACACTTGTTATTTCCTATGTTTCTGATAAATTTCATCCTAATGTACATGGTGTGTTAGATCATTAGGGTTTTTATTTGCATTTCTCTAATGATTAGTGACTTTGAGTACTTTTTCACATATTTATTTGCCATTTATATATCCTCCTTGGAAAAATCTCTATTTAAGACCTCTGTCCATTCTTTAATTTTTTTTTTGTTACTGTTACATCTTGGGAGTTCTGTATATATTTTGAATTCCTTCTCAGATATATGATTCACAAATATTTTCTTCCACTCCATAAGTTGCTTTTTCATGCTTTGACTGTTTGAGGCATAAAAATACTTATTTTTGATAAAATACAATTTATTTACTCATTCTTCCATTGCCTATACTTTTGATATATCTAAAAAAATCATGCCAAATCCAATGACATGAAGCTTTTCTTCTGTTTTCTTCTTATAGTTTTATATTTTAGCTCCTGTAAATAGGTCTTTGATCCATAATGGGTTATTTTTTGCAAATGGTATAAAGTAAAAATACAATTTCATTCTTGCATGTGGTCAATGACTTATTTTTAAAATAAATTTCAATAGATATGGAAAGGTAAACATAATAAATTTTTTAAGATTTACAGAGAACTGCAAACAGAGGAAGTGGTCGAACACACATTTGCAAGAGTAAAAAATGGATATAGGTATATTTATGCATAATGATATCTTTCAGAATTTGAAAATGAAGACAATCCACTGCCACTGAGTTACAGTTGAAGAGAGCACTGGGTACCAAACATTTCTTTGAAATGAAGAGGATTTTCTAGTTTAGTGGTGCACTTACAGCCTGAAAACTTTTTTCTGTTTGCAATACTGCTTCTAAGTGTGCTGATGGCTGGTGCATTTCTCTGCAAAGAGCTCCTTACATTGTTTGCTGCAGCCCAGCAGAATTTCTTGGGTTACTATCACAGAGTCAGTGAATGAAGAAGCATAGAGTTTCATGATTTGTTTTGTTTTGAACTGGGTAGGGTCACAGGGTCTACCCAAACTGCAGGTAACTCACAAGGTGAACAACGAAGTTATTGCTTAGCTTAGCAGATAAACTGTTAACAGAGGGGGAAAAGGGCTTTTTCTTTAAAAAAATAAAATTTACAACATCAAACTCATTTTTTTAAAATTGATAACATATTAAAAGAGTCAGCATACTACTCTTACCTAAGTAAGACAACATTTTGAAAACAAAACAAAACAAAAAAGACAGGAAAGAAGGAAAACAGAATGTAAAAGAAAGTGAGACTCCTGTCAGGGATAACAGCAGAGTTGGGCTGAGAAAGAAAAGGGGGGTGAGGGGAGGAGAAAAGAAGAGAAACAGAGAAGAGACTCACAGCCTAAAAAAGAAGAGTACATTTAAGAGGCCTATAGCAATATTCTCAAAGTCTCTTCCCATCAAAATTCTGTGACTCTCTGGATCTGAAGAAAGGGAATGAGACTTCAGGTAGAAAAAAGGTTAAAACATATAGCAACAGAAAAAAGTCCCCTCTGGCCTCTGTTTAAGTAAACATGATTCCCATGTAGCCCATCTTAATTGTATGTGCTCTCTTGCAAAGAGGGCAAATTATATTACAATACAAGAGATGAAATGACAAGCTAAAACAGGCTCCAAAATCCATTAGCTTTCCCTGCCACTTTGGCTAAAATTTTTATTTTTATTTTTTTATTTTTATTTTTATTTTTATTTATTTATTTATTTATTTGACAGGCAGAGTGGACAGTGAGAGAGAAAGAGACAGAGAGAAAGGTCTTCCTTTGCCATTGGTTCACCCTCCAATGGCCGCTGCGGCCGGCACACCACACTGATTCGAAGCCAGGAGCCAGGTGCTTCCTCCTGGTCTCCCATGGGGTGTAGGGCCCAAGTACTTGGGCCATCCTCCACTGCACTCCCGGGCCACAGCAGAGAGCTGGACTGGAAGAGGGGCAACTGGGCCAGAATCCGGTCCCCGACCGGGACTAGAACACGGTGTGCTGGCGCCACAAGGTGGAGGATTAGCCTATTGAGCCACGGCGCTGGCCTTTTTTTTTTTTTTTTTGGCTACAAGTTCTTAGAGAAAGACAGACAATACTTACTGCTGTTGCAAAATGGTGAATAACAGCAATGGAGATGCAGGCATCACAAGACTCACTGCGGACTGGCACTGCCAGCGCATCACACGCAAAGGCCTGAAATTGCCTTTCTCTACAAATGTCCACAAGATTCTGGCTACGGTCACAACCAATCTGTAATACACACAGAGAATTTCACAACATTTTGTTTAAATGTCACTAGAAATTAAGAATTATGGATTTATTTCATACCTTAAAGTCATGAGACAGATTTCATATTCACTGTGAAAAGGTCTGAGGCCATGACATTATTTGTCAGAATATACAATTATTCATGGGAACATTTATTACCTTAGTAGATATCAAACAGAACTCAAATTAGTATATGGAAACAAAATGAGCAGGAAAAATATGAGAATAATGGAAATGGGAGTTCCAAATTTGCATCTAATTAGTCACCATTCAGAATCTAAGTCTTTCTGCAACATCACACTTTTAAAAAAAATGGAAGTTATCCCATGAATACGGACAGCTAGTATTTTGGAGGAAGTTACAAATAAGGGATCTCAGTTCCCTCTCATTACTATATATCCTGTATTGTAACAGCCCAAATAGCAGAAGGGCAAGTGATTCTTTGTTCTGTTTTATACTTTTCAATGTGATCACTGTTTATAATCAGAAAATAAAAATCCCCAAACAAAAAAGTAAAATAATTTATTTCATTTTTAAAAATTACTAATTTTTTTTCTGCGAAACACCTAACTTTATCAAGAATAAAGGGCAAGGCCAGCATTGCGGTACAGTGGGTTAAGCTGCTACCTTTGAGTCCTGGCTGCCCCACCTGTGATCCAGCTCCCTGCTAATGTGCCTGAGAAAGCAGAAGATGGCCTGAGTGCTTGGGGCCATGAACCCACATGGGAGACACTGAGGAAGCTCCTGGCGCCTGGCTTTGGCCTTGCCCAGTCCCGGTAGATGGGGCCATTTGGGCAGTACCCCAGTGGGTAGAAGATTTCTCCCTCTCTCTGTCTCTCCCTCTCTCTATATAACTTTGTCTTCAAATAAATAAATAAATCTTACAAAAAAAAAGAATAAAGGGTTAAGGGGCTAGGGGCAGACATTTGACCTAGCGATTAACACATCTCACATTGGAGTGCCTGGGATTAAGTTTTGGTTCTACTCCTGACTCCTGACAATGTAGATCATAGAAAGCAGCAGTAATAACAGTAATGGATTCAAGTGACTGAGTTCCTGCACTCACATGGGAGATCTCTACTGAGTTGCTGGCTCCCAGCTTCCAGTTGCAGGAATTTGGGGAATTATATACTTTTAAACTGTTACGTTTAAAAGAGGAGTACATAAAGTGTTCTTTGGGTAAACATTTCACCATAACCAAATCATCCCCAAGCAGGTGAGACCTAACATGCCTTATGCATTTCTCCAGTTCTGTGGAGAGTTTGGAGACTGGAACTTCCCATCTTCTTTCTGGTATTGTTATTTTTGTACAGTTTTCCTGTTTAGTTCTATAAAGACAATACACACACTCAAATAGGTATATATATGGATACGGCTCCATGAGCACATGTACGTTGGGGAAGAAATAGAAGAGGTTAAGAAATATTATATCACTAATCAATAATTATCCCCAGGTACTTCTTTTTACTCCAGTCTTGATCACGAGAGAAAGATTTACATAAGCAGATTTAGTCAAACAGAAGTGGCTACCTTAAGCTTATATCTACTCATTTAATTTTTTTATGTAATAAGCACTGATCCTTAGGGTTCTCTTAGCCTTTCTGAGAATAAAAACTAGGAATCTTCATATCAAAACAATTGTTACTGAGTTAAATCACTGCCATGCTCCTCACATTAATGAGTTTCTCCATGAGCAAACTGGTATTAAACAGCCTCTATACTCTACCCCAGAGCTGCTTTCATTTCTAAAGTAGAATCAAAGGGACAAGCCAAAGGTAAAGTATAGCAATCCCTGTGACATATTTCAAGATGCAGAAGTACTGAGGGCCCATTAGTAACAACAGTGGCATGATTCTCAATTAATTGTTCCCCTTACCTTTGTAAGGTCATGCCTGGCTTATTACTTTTGTTTATGTTCACTCATATTCTATGTCACTCAGCCATCAGTCAGTAACAATATCAAGATGACAATACCATATAAAACATGCAGAACATATACTGCATATTTTGGTGCTTTCCACTTTTTCTTATATTTAAAGTTAGTTCAAAGGATCAGAAGTTTCAAGTCTGCCCAATTCTGACACATAGCTGCACCTTACACGTCAACATAAAGAAATCCAACTGCCTGTAAAACAAATCCTCAGAGCTAGGGCTCAACAGCTATCTAGAGGAGGAAAGTTATAATCTAACAACCACAGATGAAACAGAACCAGGAGAAAAGCAGCCAAACAAGCAAGAGGAAATCTCTCTTTCTTGCCAGGCTGTTATGACTGTTAGTTCACAGCATGCCTTTTCATGGGCAGTTGGTAATAAAGCACCAGATCTCGTGCGGATTCCCACTAACTGTTGCCCTGACTCATATCTGGCTCACTACTTGTCTTTTTCACTTATTTTGCCCTAGTCTTCAACATACCATAGAAAAATCATTAGATTTTCTTCTCTTTATTTTCTATTTTTAAATTCCTTTAAGTCTTTATATCAAAGATACCAAGTACTTTAAATTCGCCCTAATAATATTACATAAAGTGAACAAAAGAACAGAAAATGGTTTATGTATAAACACTCACATATATTTAAGGATTCATGTAAACTACATATTTCTGTGCACTGGATGGTGATCAAGGACATAAACATTCATACTGTGTTTTAAATGAACACTTTTTTGCTAGTAAATTTTTAAATCTTTAACGAAACATGAATTATACAATTCTGGAAGTATAGGTAGACATAAAAAAAAATTCAACCTGGTAATAAAAGGTGTAAATTAAGACAATTTTCCATTTTTCTCCTATTAAACTACCAAAACTATTTTATAACCAAAACATACTGCATTAGTATCAGTGTGATACTCTCAAATCATCTTCTTAAAATTGCTATTGATGACAATACCAATTGGCCGAATAATTTAAAGTACAATTAGGCAAATCATTTTTTAAATAACATACAAAGTTTATAACTTTTGCTCAATTTATTCTTCTAAAAATGTATCCTAAGAAAATAATCCAAAATATGGAAAAGCTAACCTGGCTATAGCAAATGTCTTTTACTGAGTACTACTATTAAAGCAGTTTCTTAACAAATTTAAACCTCATAACACAGGTATTATTATCACCATATTACAGTTTGGGAAACTTTTTTTTTTTTTTTTTTTTGACAGGCAGAGTTAGACAGAGAGAGAGAGACAGAAAGAAAGGTCTTCCTTTTCTGTTGGTTCACTCCCCAAATGGCTGCCAAGGCCGACGCACTGTGCTGATCCGAAGCCAGGAGCCGGGTGCTTCCTCCTGGTCTCCCATGCAGGTGCAGGACCCAAGCATTTGGGCCATCCTCCACTGCCTTCCTGGGCTACAGCAGAGAGCTGGACTGGAAGAGGAGCAACTGGGACAGAACTGGAGCCCCAACCGGGACTAGAACCTGGGGTGCTGGCGCCGCAGGCGGAGGATTAGCCAAGTGAGCTGCGACGCTGTCAGGGAAACTTTTTTTAAAGGTTTGTTTTCGGGGCCGGCTCCATGTTGCAGTAGTTTAATCCTCCACCTGTGGCGCCGGCATCCCATATGGGCGCCACTTCAGTCCCAGCTGCCCCTCTCCTAATCCAGCTCTCTGCTATGGCCTGGGAAAGCAGTAGAAGATGGCCGAAGTACTTGGGCCCCTGAACCCACATGGGAGACCCGGAAGAAGCTCCTGGCTCCTGGCTTTGGATCGGTGCACTCTGGGGAGTGAATCAACAGAAGGAAGACCTTTCTCTCTGTCTCTCCCTCTCAGTGTCTGTAACTCTACCTCTCAAATAAATAAATAAATAAAATCTTTTAAAAAAATAAAAATAAATTAAAGAAAAGGTTTGTTTTCTTTTTTCTTAAAGACATTTATTTATTTGAAAGTCAGAGTTACACACAGAGAGAAGGAGAGGCAGAGAGAGAGAGTCTTGCACCATTGGTTCACTCTCCAATTGGGCGCAATGGCTAGAACTGTGCCAATCTGAAGCCAGGAGCCAGAAGCTTCCTCTGGTTCTCCCACATGGGTGCAGGGGCACAAGGACTTGGGCCATCTTCTACTGCTTTCCCAGGCCATAGCAGAGACCTGGGTCAGAAGTGGAGCTGCTGGGACTCGAACTGGCGCCAATATGAGATGCCAGCACTGCAGGCTGCAGCTTTACCCACTATGCCACAGTGCCGGCCCCAGTTGGGGAAATTTCATCTCAAAGAAAAAAAGCAATACATGGTCTTTATCACTCTAAAAACACATATTCTATCATCTAATCCATTTATACCATTTAATTATCTGTTACTTTTAAGAATCATTATGTTTCTGATTCCATTAAGAGCTGTACTGAGGGTACCTATAGGAGGTTAGAACACATGCAGTCCCATGGAAGGTCTATTTTGATTTTGGATTGAATCATTATTGCTGTGGTATGAGCAGTGAGTGTGATGAGGCTCTTTCCTAAGAATCATTTCAATTTTTTTAACAGATTTTTCCATAAAGTTTACTGTGTTACTAGAAAGGCAGCTCTCTAAATGTAACTGTGTATTTCCCCATTATATTCCCTTTTATATCATTTAGGTTTGCATTCCTTAGTTTCTGCTAATAGGAACAGAAATAATGAAGTCATTTGGGTACGTGTTTAGATTCAGGTTTTTTCCTTTTGTTTTTGGAGGGTGAAGAGAAAGAGGTAAAGGAAGAGAAAAGGTGTAGAATGGGGAATGAAAGGGGAGAAAAAAGTCTTCAAGATGAGGTGTAACAATAACTTACTGAGAAGGTAACTTAGTCAAACATATGTATACAAACTGATATTTCAACGAAGTCCATTGGAATTTGTTTTGTGTATGTGTGTGTGTGTGTTTCCTTTAAGGAATTCTTTGTCCTCCAAAGGATATTTAAAGTCAGTATATCATGAGATCTAATATATTTATGTCCCCAATATTAAGAAATAATGTTCACGAGCTAACGCTGTGGCATAGCGGGTGGAGCCACCACCTGTGGTACAGGAATCCCATATGGATGCTGGTTCGAGTCCCAGCTGCTCCACTTCCAATCCAGCTCACTGCTATGGCCTGGGAGGGCAGTGGAAGATGATCCAGGTGCCTGGGCCCCTGCACTTCCATGGGAGACCTGGAGGAAGCTCTAGGCTCCTGCTTCAGATTAGCCCAGCTCCAACCATTGTGGACATTTGGGAAGTTAACCACTGGATTGAGGACCTCTCTCTTACTCTCTGCCTCTGTCTCTCTTTAACTCTGCCTTTCAAACAAACAAATAAATAAATATTTTATTTAAAAAATCAATTAAGAAAATATCCAATTGTAGAAAAATCAGATTGACAATATATAGCTTGAACTGCAAAAAAACAGGTTAAGACAGTAAAGTCCAGTGAAAGGAGTACACTAAACTCTAGATTTGAATCCTGCCCAACAATAACCAAATAAAAAACCTAGGAAAGCTACTTAACACTTCAGAGCCTCTGCTTCATCATCTAAAACACAACAAATAGAAATACCTAATTTTTGGGGCTAGTGCTGTGGCGTAACAGGTAAAGCCGCTGCCTTCAGTGCCAGCATCCTATATGGGTGCCGAATCAAGTCCCAGGTGCTCCACTTCTGATTCAGCTACTTGCTAATGTGCCTGAGAAAGCAATGGAAGATAACCCAAGTCATTGGGACCCTGCACCCATGTGGGAGACCTAGAAGAAGCTCCAGGCTCCTGACTTTGGATTGGCCCAGCTCCAACCATTATGGCCATTTGGGGTGTGAACCAGTGGATGAAAGACTCCTCTTTCTGCCTCTGCCTTCTAAATAAATAAATAAATATTAAAAAAAATCAGAAAAATCAGATTTGCAATATGCAGTTTGAAGTGCAGAAACATAGGTTAAGACAGTAAAGTCCAGTATACTAGATGTGAATCCTGGCCCAGCAATAACCAAGTGAACAACCTAGGAAAGCTACTTACCACCTCAGAGCCTCTATTCATCATCTAAAACACAAAAACAGAAATACCCAATTCTTGGGGCCAGTGCTGTGGCATAGTGGGTTTCTGCCTGAGGCACCAGCATCCCATATAGGTGCCAGTTCAAATCCCAGCTGCTCCACTTCTGATCCAGCTCTGTGCTGATGGCCTGGGAAAGCAGAGGAAGATGGTCCAAGTCCTTGGGCCCCTGCATCTGCATAGGAGACCTAGAGGAGGCTCTTGGCAAGGTACTTATCTGACAAAGGAAAAATACCCAGAATATATAAGCAACTCTCTTTTTTAGAATTTTAGCCTATTCTACACATGAAGATCTAAAATGAATCTCTCAAGTCACCTTTTCTTATTTCATGAACGACAAGAAATGCATTTATTTTCCAGCTCACAAAATGACTGCTCAAAATATACTCAAATATATTCAACCAACCAGGTTGAATTCTCAGCAACTGAAAAACGGCAGGCTTCCTTTTTATCATTCATAATTCCACTTTCTGGTATAATGAAATTCTTAACTCCAACCAGACAAGTAGTTTTCAGTTCCTCATTGAACCAATATTTCATGAGCCTTTGCTAGAGGTCAGATAATGCAGTAGGCTCTGGGGAACCCAGACAGGAAGGACTACATGTTGAGTGCCACTGATAAAAATGAATGTGAATAATAGAGAGTATATGTATTCACAATTTTCCAATCCTTGCAAATATATATACTTTAATGAATCAGCATTAGAATTTTGATTCCATTTCCTATTCAACAAATACTCATTCTTCTCAATTGTAACAGAAGAGTGTTACAATCATGACTCTCAGAAGAAGAAAGAAAGGCTCAGTGGGGTTGACTTCAATCAAGTCTCACTGTCATGAATGATACCTGACTAGATAAAACCATGGATTATCAATAACAAAGAGCAAATACAAGGCCTACTGAGAAACATTTTTGCCCAGTACCTTAAGATTAAAACACCAGAAGATATCTTTTTTTTTTTTTTTTTTTTTTGGACAGGCAGAGTGGACAGTGAGAGAGAGAGAGACAGAGAGAAAGGTCTTCCTTTGCCATTGGTTCACCCTCCAATGGCCGCCACGGCTGGCGCGCTGCGGCTGGTGCACCACGCTGATCCGATGGCAGGAGCCAGGTACTTATCCTGGTCTCCCATGGGGTGCAGGGCCCAAGCACTTGGGCCATCCTCCACTGCACTCCCTGGCCACAACAGAGAGCTGCCCTGGAAGAGGGGCAACCGGGACAGAATCCGGCGCTCCAACCGGGACTAGAACCTGGTGTGCCGGCACCACAAGGCAGAGGATTAGCCTAGTGAGCCGCGGTGCTGGCCTCAATTTGTTTTGAACTGTGGTTACAGATGTGATTTTAAGTGACATCAAAAGACTACTTCCTATTAGACATGAACCAACTTATCAGACTTTATTCTTTATGCTAAAATTTAATTGTAAGGATGACAACAATTTTTTAATATCTGTCTTATCTTAATAAAAGCTATTTTTAGCTTTTATCTATCTCTTAATGAACAAATTTTTCCTTTCCTCAGTTGCCATAACTTTCTTCATGTAGATGTAGAGATATTCAAATTGGGTAAAACAAATAATTATTAGCAATCTGTCATATTCCAATAACCCATGAATGTAGACAGTTCTAATTCTCTTTATTTAAGCCCTTCTACTCCTTTTCTTGAGAAAGGGAAGCTCCAGTCTTTACAGAGCAGCATAATTATAAGTTGGTAGTTGGTTTTTTTTTTTTTTTTGGTAAGATTCATTTACTTATTTTGAAAGAGTTACAGAGATAGACAAATACAGAGAGAGAGAGAGAGAGATCTTCCATGAGCTGGTTCACTCCCTAGATAATGAAAGCCAGGAGCCAGGAGCTTCATTTGGGTCTTCCAGGTGGGCGGCAGGGACCAAAGAACTCGGGTCATCCTCCACTGCTTTTCACAGACTGTTGGCAGAGAGCTGGATCAGAAATAGAGCAGCTAGGATTTGAACTGGTACCCATATGGGATATTGGTGTCACAGGCAACAGCTTTATGTGCTATGCCACAACACTGGCCCCTGTTATGAGTTTTTACAACAATGTACTACAGCAGGGAGATCTTCCTTCCTCCAAATGTAGCAGGAAAAAAAGTAGTTTGTTGGAAAATAAATGATAACAATTATTAAAAAGGAGAGAACGATCCAACATGGGAAGTGGGAGACACAGCGGACTCATAGAATGACAAACACCCTAAGCAGCACTCTGGCCTCAGAATCAGCCCTTAAGGCATTCGGATCCGGCTAAAAAGCCCTTGAGAGTATTTCAGGCATGGAAATCCAAGACACTGAGGCAAAAAATATCCTAAATGAAAGATCTCTCTGAGTGAGATTCCAGCTGAAAGACCATCAAAGAAGGAGGTACCTTTCTCTGAAGGGAGGAGAGAACTTCCGCTTTGATTATGGCCTTGTCTAAATAAGGTCAGAGTTGGCAAACTCAAAAGGCTTCCATAGCCTTGGCAGCTCATGACAAGAGCCCCGGGTGATTACTTGACATCATAAATAAGAGTGTCAATTGTTAAATCAACAACAGGAGTCACTGTGCACTTGCTCCCTATGTAGGACCTCTGTCCTTAATGTGTTGTACTATGAGAATTAATGGTAAAACTAGTCTTCAAACAGTACTTTATACTTTGTTTGTCTGTGTGGGTGAGAACTGTTGAAATCATGACTTAATATAGAGTTGATCTTCTGTATATAAAGATAATTAAAAATGAATCTTAATGAAGAATGGGATGGAAGAGGGAGTAGGACATGGGAAGGTTTGTGGGTGGGAGGGTGGTTATGGGTAGAAAAACCACTATAATCCGAAAGTTGTACTTTGGAAATTTATATTTATTAAATAAAAGTCTTCTATTAAAAAAAAGAAAAGCAATGATAACAATTGAAAATAGACATTTTGGAAGGAGATAGAAATAGGTTCAATTCCTAGATTGAGCATCTGGGTCATGGTTACATAACCTTTTTTTTTTTTTTTTTGGACAGGCAGAGTGGACAGTGAGAGAGACAGAGAGAAAGGTCTTCCCTGCATTGGTTCACCCCCAGATGGCCGCTGCGGCCAGCGCACCACACTGATCCGAAGCCAGGAGCCAGGAGCTTCTCCTGTTCTCCCATAGGGTGCAGGGCCCAAGCACTTGGGCCATCCTCCACTGCACTCCTGGGCCACAGCAGAGAGCTGGACTGGAAGAGGGGCAACCGGGACGGAATCCGGCGCCCTGATCGCGACTAGAACCCGGTGTGCCAGCGCCACAAGCGGAAGATTAGCCTATTGAGCCGCGGCGTTGGCCTACATAACCTTTACTCTATCTGAGCCCAAGTTTCCTCAATAGTAACATACAAATAAACAGTAACCTTTTTTTTCTATTATGAGTAAAAGAGCACTGGATTTGGAGTCAGAAGGCCTAGGTTCAAAATCCTCTAATTATATGACATCAGGGAGGTAAAATGAGCTTAACCACTATGAGTCTGTTTCTTCATTTATAAAAAATAAAAAAAGTAATGAAATGCCTGCTTTATCTTTATCATACATAGGAAGATTCAGGCAAAGAAAATAGTTTCAATAAAAATCCTTCCTAATCTAGTGACAGTTTTGTACCTGTAAGATAATTTTACTGTTAAAATAATCTTATTAGAAATCACTACCAAAGTAGAAAAAAAAAAAACTACAAATAATAGCATGCCCATAAATTTCCAGGGAAATAAAATAGAATAGGGGTTTTCATTAATTTTCAATCTACTTGTTATAACATTTCAACCATGAGTAAAAACACAACATGATATCATTAGGAAGAAAGATGATAACCACTGCAAATAAAGCAAAAAGAAACATTACTTACCATATATAACTCCTTATTGATGCCAAGGTACTTTCCATTTCCACATCCAATATCAGCCACTATTGAACCATCTGGCAAAGCCTTCAAAAACTCCACGATGTGTGGCCAAGGGGTATGTCTGGTGCTGCTGAAGTGCCCAGCAATCTCTTCATACACTCGATGGACATACTCTCGCTCCAGCTGGGAGGCTTCTTGATCACTCTCCGGAAATGAAGGAGGACTCTCTTTCCTCTGGCTGTCACAGGCCACATAGTAACCTAAATGAAAAAATAAAGCAATCTAAATCTTTCACTTTTATCCAAATTATCATGTTTTTAAAGCAAACCAATACAAATTTGAAGACTGAGGTAGACAAGCTCGGATTTATTAGTTAAACAACAACAAAAAAGCTCTCCCAACAAGTTAAATTCTATACATGAAGGAGTCTAATGTGAAAAGAAAAGAGAGAATCCATTTACAACAAAACATGACTACAATTCTGCATCTGCCTTATAATGCCTCTTTCCCCTTGAATTGAGTCTTCATAGTCAGGAAAGCTTCTTCTAACCTATAAGAAAACCTATAGGATTTAGGGTTTTTCTCTTGGCAGATGAAGAAGTTGAAACTTCTGGGGAACCCCAGGACTCCCAAAGAAGAATAAGACCTTGCATTAAAGTGTCATTTGGTAATCATCACAAGCATTTATTGAACACTACTGTAAGCAGTTTATATGTGGTATCTCAACTCTCACAGTAACGCTATGATGTAGGTACTATTACATTCATTTTACCACTTAAGAAACTGAAGCACAAGGAAGTTAAATACCATCCCTAAGGTGACAAGGATGGTAAATCATAGCAAAGATTTGAACCCAGGCAATGCAGATTCCAGGGCCCACACTCTCAATGACTACACTGTGTCACCTCTTTCAGAAGAATAACCAGGGCCAGCACTGTGGCATACTGGGTTAAGCCATCACCTGCAGTGCTGCCATCCCATATGGGCGCCAGTTCAAGACTTGGCTGCTCCACTTCCAATCCAGCTCTCTGCTATGACCTGGGAGGGCAGTGGAGGATGGCCCTAGTCCTTGGGCCCCTGCACCCACATGGGAGACCTGGAGGAAGCTCCTGGCTCCTGGCTTCAGATCGGCACAGCTCCTGCCATTGTGGCCATCTGGGGAGTCAACCGGCAAATGGAAGACCTCTCTCTCTCTGCCTCTCTTTGTTTCTCCATGTAACTCTGACTTTTAAATAAATAAATAAATCTTAAAAAAAAAAAAAGAATAACCAAACCCCAAGTAAACATCAGCAAGTAGAGATGACAGAGGGATTTAGTATACAATGTCTCAAATAAATTTTGAAGGTGTTCCTATTCTCTGTAATAATGTCTAATGTTAATTTTACATCTTAGCTGTTCTCTGCCATTCTGTAGTATTTTTTTTTGTCTTGTTAAAGTCTATAACACACACACAACATCTTTTTTATGGGTAGTGTTTTAGGGAAAAAAGAAAGAAGTAGTATTCCCAGAGAAATCACAGAAAAGACTAATGCAACAGTTAAAACTCACATGACAGCAAAGAATTCAGTGGCAGCAACAAGGCTTCAGGAGTGGACAAAAAACAAACTACTTTTCCCTAAAGATAACTAGAATATGACAAATCCTGAGAAAGCTTAAAATTGGGATGTGAGTTCAAGTTCCTATTAATGGGTAAAGGGAAACTCTAAAAATTTTAAATGGATATTTAAGAAAAAAATAGCCTCCAAAAGCTTGAGGGCTCTAAAACAAACATATGGAAACAGATGATTATACTATGACAGTTAAACTAAAATTACAACTATACAACACATTACAGGTATCCCAAAGTCGTCTTAGCAAAATTTTATGATGGGAAGAACAACCTACCACTAAAAAATTCAAAAAGTTTGATTAAAATTATATAAAGAATGATCTTAGAAAGAAAAAAACCTTACTAATTATCAGGTAAATCCAAATTAAAACCAAAAGATATCACCTCACACTTGTTAGGATGGCTATTATTAAAGGGAGGAAAAAGAGGCTAGTGCTGTGGCACAGCAAGTAAAGCCGCTGCCTGCAGCACTAGTATCCCATACGGGCTCCAGTTTGAGTCCCAGCTGCTCTATTTCCAATCCAGTTCCCTACTGGTGTGCCTGGGAAAGCAGCAGAAGATGATCCATGTGCTTGGGGTCTTGCACCCACGTGGGAGATCTGGATGAAGCTCCTGGCTCCTACCTTCAGTCTGACCCAGCCCTAGCCATTGCAGCCATTTGGAGAGTGAAGAAGCAGATGGAAGATCTCTCTCTCTTTCTCTCTCTCTCTCTCTCCTTTTCTCTCTGTAACTCTGCCTTTCAAATAAATATAATAAAAATCTTCTAAAAAAGGAAAAAAGTATCAAGTGTTGGCAAGGATATAGAGAAAAGGAAACCCTGGCACACTGCTGGTAGGAATGTAAATTAGCACAGCCATTGCAGAAAATAGTATGGAAGTTCCTCAAAAAGCTAAAAATAGAACTATCATGATCTAGACATCCCACTACTGGGTATATATCCAAAGAAAATGAAAACAATATGCCAAAGAGTTATCTGCACTCCTGTGTTCATTGCAGCATTAGTCCCAGCAGCCAACATTTGGATTCAACCTAAGTGTCCTTAAATGGATGAATGGATCTTTAAAATGTGCTATCTATACACAATGAAATACAATTCTGGTTTAAAGACAGTAATCCTGTCATCTGCAATAACATCTAATGAACTTAGAGGACATTATGTTAACTAAAGTAAGCCAGGCACAGAAAGACAAAAACCACATAATATTACTTTCATGCATAACTTAAAAATGTTGACCTCATAAAAGCAGAAGAGTAGAATGGTGGTAACTAAGAGCTGAGTGGGATGGGAGGAGACTGGGGAGATGTTAGTCAAAGTATATAAAATCTCAGTTAGAGAGGAGTAAACCTCGAAGATCTATTTTACAACATACAAATAACTCTGTATAATATATATTTTAAAGATTTATTTATTAATCTGAAAGCAAGAGTTATAGAAAGAGGGAAGGAGAGAGAGAATCTTCCATCTGCTGGTTCATTCCTCAAATGGCCTCAACAGCCTGGGCTGGGCCAGGCTAAAGCCAGGAGCCAGGAGCTTCTTTCAGGTCTCCCACATGAGTGCAGGGAACCAAGGACTTGGGCCATCTTCTTCTGCTTTCCCAGACACATCATCAGGGAGCTAGATCAGAAGTGGAGCAGGGGCTGGCACCGTGGCATAACAGGTAAAGCCACCACCTACAGTACCAGCATCCCATATGGGCACCAGTTCAAGTCCGGCTGCTCCTCTTCCGATTCAACTCTCTGCTATGGCATGGGAAAGCAGTGGAAGATGGCCCAAGTCCTTGGTAGCCCAGAACCCATGGGGGAGACCTGGAAGAAGCTCCTAGCTTCTGGCTTCGGATTGGCTCAGCTCTGGCCATTGTGGCCATCTGGGAAGTGAACTAGAGGATGGAAGACCTCTCTGCCTCTCCCTCTCTGTAACTATGCCTTTCAAAATAAATAAATAAATCTTTTTTAAAAAAAAAGATAAGGTGATCAAGAAAGAAAAAAGAAGTTCCTTAAGTACAGAGCCCATGCTTTATTTTTCTATATCTCATAAATTACAGCAGTATTAGACATTCATCAAATATTTAATAGCATTTTTAATTAATTCTTTAAATCAATATTTTAAGGCTTCAAAGATACTTTTAGCAAAATAAATAAAAATATTATGCTTCACTAATATTAAGACATTAAACATAAAGATTATAAGTTTTCTAGCAGGGTAACATCTTATAAATTTAATAAGGGTTTTTAATTCAAAACAATTTTAAGATTATGGTTAAATCCAAAAGCAACTGGTAGATACTATCCATAATCAAAACTCCTAGGACAGAAAAAGAATCTTACCAGTACTGTCACTACAAAATATTATTTATAAAATGAAAGAGATTTCTTCTAATAGAGTATGAGAAATCCAGCGCCTGATGTACTTGGATAGACAATTCGAAACAGCATTCTTTCAACAAGATTTTGAGCAGTTCCTTTACTTTATTCTAGGTTCCCAAATTGACAAAAACATAACCTATTTCTTGCTCTCTAGAATTGCCTACCACTGAACAATCTTTCATCTCCAGCTTCCCTGTTGGCTTACTAAAAAGTAATTTAGAAACTTGAAATGCTGTTTCTACCAAAACCTATTTTTTTTACAAGTGATATTTCATTTTCACAATTGTAGCATTCTCAACTGTGACTTCAATAAACAAAATATTTATTTGGTACCCAATTATGCTCAAGTACTACATCTGGAGAAAAGAAAGATGACAAGATATAGCCTCCCCATCAAAGAATATTAACTCTAACGGGAATGGTTAAGAAAAGCATGTGACAGGAGCTGGCATCGTGGCTTATAGGTTAAGCCTCCTGTATGGGCGCTGGTTTGAGTCGACTGCTGCATCAGCTGCCTGCTAATGGCCTGGGAAAGTAGTGGAAAATGCCTCAAGTGCTTGGACTCCTGCACCTAAAGACCTAGAAGAAGCTCCTGGCTCCTGGCTCCAGATCAGCCCAGCTCCGGCCATTGAAGCCATTTGGGGAGCGAACCAGAGGATAGAAGACCTCTCTCTCTGCCTCTCCCTCTGTCTATCTGTAACTCTGACTCTCAAATAAAAAAAAATAAAATAAAAAAAAAGTACATGAAAGTACAGCAGAATGCAAGGAATACCATCAGAGAACTTAAGAAATAGCTCTTCTGGGTGCTTATGGAACCTAAAGAGATTTTCATACTAGATTTACTCCACTTTACAGTAGAATTGAAATTACATACTTACTACAGTTACAAGGTGTTCGCCTCACTTTCCTAAATGTAAATGATGTTCGGATTCCCCTCTTGCTTAAAGTTAAGTCTCCAACATCACTGGTGATAATTCCACTTTTGTGATGCTCAGATGCTTGAATAGTATCAAATTTTCTGGGTGTGATTCTAAAAATAACAGGCAAAATAATTTACCAAAGATTATATTAATAAAAATATTTCAGGTCTTCTAAAAATATTAAGGAAATACAACAAATATAGGACTTATTGAAAATATCAATTGGATTCCTTGACTTACTAGGCATTTTGGAAAAAGCAAAAGAATAAAAATCTTTAAGGAAGTTATCTTCAGATTAATATTAAAAGGATGAACAACAACAAATTATTTGAGGAAAATAAAACAGTAACAAATATTTAATTAAATTCAATTCTAATAGGAAAACAACAGATGAGGCAAAGATGAAACATAGATATTAAATTTAAACTCAATATCAGTAATTATGTTAAATGTAAACAGATTAAAATCTCCAATTAAAGAATAAAACTTGAGAGGGAGGGTATGGTATAGAGGTTTAGATGCCTCTTGGGATGCCCACATCCCATTTCGGAGTACATGGGCTAAAGTCCTGACTCCTCTTCCAATTCCAGCTTCCTCATAATGTACACCCTGGCAGGCAGCAGGTGATGGCTCAAGTACTTGGCTCCCAGCTTGGGCCAGCCAATCCTGATCACTGCAGGCATTTGCAGAGGGAACCAGCAGATAGGAATTCTCTCTCTGTTTCTCTCACTCTGTCTCTCAAATTTAAAAATAATAATAATTTAAAGAATATTTAGAAATAGAAAAATACATAACATGAAAAAATATTTTGCATATATCAAGCAAAACCAAAAGAAAAATGATATAGTTATACTAAACAGACAAATTCAACTTTAAAGTGGTAAGGATCACTAAAGATAGAAAAGAATATTTCATGATGATGATGTTCAAACAGAAAGTTACAAAAACTCTATTTATACATGCCAAATTAGTAACATTCTCAAAACTTATAAAGCAAAAGATTGGGAAAGTATATAACACAAAAAATAGAAAAAATACAATTATCAATGGAGTTTTTAATATAAGTACATCCTTTTCAGTAACTAAAGTCTAGTTAAAGGTTAAGGGTATCAACATTAGGAAACAACAAACAATGGAACAAAAAATTAACTATTAAATTGTATAATATAGATACAATAAGTAAAACAAAGATTAAAAGTAAAAAGTAGTTTAAGTTATTACAAATTGTGTTATAAGAAGATTTGAAGAGGATCCTTGCAGTATGCTCAAATTTCTGAATGGGAAAAAAGGAATCTTATGGTAGGAAAATAATATACTTTCAAAGCTCAATTTACATATAATAAAATGTATAGATATTAAGCACACAGTTCAATGAGTTTTGACAAACGTACACCCCCCCTTGTGACCACCATGCCAATCAAGAATATTTCCAACACTCAAGGTCACACAGCCAAAAGGACACCAAGGTCCTTTCAGCCAATCCTTCCCCACTTCGAAGCAATCACTATTCTGATTTCAATCAGTATATTTTTGCTTTCTCTTGAACTTCATAAACAGTACTATTCTGTGTCTGGCTTTGTCCAGCCATCATAACGGTTTTGACATTTAACCACGTTGTGATATTTAGCAACAGTGTGCAGCCTATTGATGAGTAACATTCTATTGTACGAACCTAACACAATTTATTTATACAAAAATCTGTTAATGCATACAGTTTGCAACTACTATTAGTACAGCTGTGAACATTCTTACACACATTGTTTTCAGGTACATATATATATTTTTTCATTACTCTTGGGTAAATGCCTAGGAGTAAAGTTGATGGGTCACCAAGTAAGAAATTGCCAGTTTTTCAAAGCAGTTATTCAGTTTTACACTCCAGTCAGCCACATGTGAGAATTCCAGGCTGCTTGACAGTCTCATCAACACTGGTTGTTGTCTCCATTTTTTAGGTTAGGATTTAAAGTGATGGTAAGCAGTATGAAACTTTGGTTAATTAGAATTTCTCTAATAACTAATGATATATATGTGTTCACTGCTTATTATCCACTCATAGATCTTTCTTCTGGTGAAGGATCTATTCAAATCTTTTGCTAAATTCCCAGATAGATGGATAGACAGACAGATTTTACAGAAATTTCCACTCTGCATGTGGCTGCCTTTTTATTTTCATTTTGTAACATTTAAAATTTATTTACTTATTTATTTGAAAGGCAGTACTAAAATGGATTTGATCATAAAATCCTAAATGAATACTGGCCCTAAATTGTGAACAAATTCTCAATTTTCATTTCATTGTTACTATTATTTCACTCCATCTGATATTAGATTTAGAATCCTAAACTAATTATTTAAACCACACCATGGTTAATCATGAATGTTGGGAAGGAGGTATTTTACAGGTTTTCATGTTATTTTAAATAGCATTTTAATTTCATTTTCCAAAAAATAATTTTTTAATACTGAACAGCCAAATACAAGTGGTTCTAGTACTTTTGTTGATCCCCTAGGGTTTCCATATCCACAATAATGCATTCTTTTTATTTTTTTAAAGATTTTATTTATTTATTTCAAAGTCAGACTTACACAGAGAGAGAAGAAGCAGAGAGAGAGAGAGAGAGATAGTCTTCCATCCACTGGTTCACTCCCCCAATTGGCTGCAATGGCTGGAGCTGAGCCGATCTGAAGCTAGGAGCCAAAAGCCTCCTCTAGGTCTCCCAGGCAGGTGCAGGGGCCAAAGGACTTGGGCCATCCTCCACTGCCTTCCCGGGCCACAGCAGAGAGCTGGACTGGAAGTGGAGCAGCCAGGACTTGAACAGGCGCCCATATGGGATGCCGGCACTTGCAGGTGGCAGCTTTACCCACTACGCCACAGCCCATCTGCTATAATAATGTATTCTACAAATCAAGAGTTTTACTACTTCCTCTCAAATCTTTATGATTTTAGTTTTTTCATTATTATACTAAGATATCCAATACAACATTAAGTAGAAATGATAAGAGCAAATGTTCCTGCCCTGTTTAATATTTTACAAAATAGCAATCAATATTCCAACATTAAGTATGATACTAGCCGTAGGCTTTTCACAAATATCCTTTATCAGATTGAAGAACTTCCCTTATTGATTTTGAAATGCTAAGCCAACCTTGAAATACTGGGGTAAATTCCAATCAGTTATAATGTATTTTCTTTTTAAATACCTTAGGATTACCGGTGCCATAGCTCACTAGGCTAATCCTCCGTCTGCAGCATCAGTACTCCAGGTTCTAGTCCCGGTTGGGGCCCCGGGTTCTGTCCCAGTTGCTCCTCTTTCAGTCCAGCTCTCTGCTGTGGCCTGGGATTGCAGTGGAGGATGGCCCAACTCCTTGGGCCCTGCACCCGGATGGGAGACCAGGAGAAGCACCTGGCTCCTGGCTTCGGATCAGCGCAGTGCACCGGCCGTAGCGGCCATTTGGGGGGTGAACTAACGGAAGGAAGACCTTTCTCTCTGTCTCTCTCTCTCACTGTCTAACTCTGCCTGTCAAAAATAAATAAATAAATACTGTAGGATTAAACTTTCTAATATTTCTGATATTTTGTTAAGGATCTCTCATCTCTGTTATATCAGTCTTTAATTTTCCTTAATTGTAATGTCCTTGACATATTTTGTGTCAAGGGTAATGCCAACTTCATAAAAACGAGTTAGGAGAATGCTGTTTTTAAAAGAGCTTGTGCCAAAGGCAATTTTTTAGAAGTAAAGGCAAGCAATCATTGCCTGAATTTATTATTTTTATTCTAATATAATTTATTATTGTTATTCTAATAGCTGAAAATGATGAAACCTATCCTTTTGAACAAAGTCAAGATATTTTAAAAGAAAAAAAATGAATTCCCTCTAGAGGATTAAGCAGTTCTCTATTATGGCTGTTTTAAGCCAATTACATCACTTGCCTAACATTAAACCTCAGGCAAAGGCCAAGTAGTTCTTAACTGCTATTGGCATGACTATCAGATTTTTACACATACGTAACCTATATGATAAAATAATGATTTTCTTAAACATCATTAAACACAACTTTTTCCCCTTACACTCAAATCATAATCTAGTTGAGAAAATATTCAACAGAAAGATAAAAATAATTTTACAGATGTAAATAATAGTTCAATATACTAGAACAGGCAGTAGGAGACAATAGTATTTAGGGGTTAAGCTAAGGGATAAATTATTTCAAGTTAATATAGTCAGGAAAAGCTTCATAAATTTATGAAATTACTTCCTTTATAAGGAAGTAAAAGTAGAGCTGTACATTAAAAATAGAATGGAAAGGAAACAGAAATGTATTGCACTGAGGGCTGCAAAAATGTGAAGGCTAGAGAGCTCAGTATAAATTCAGAGGAAAGGAAGCAAACAAGCTAAGCTACGACATTATGGTTCAGGGTACAGATCCCAAAGCCAGACTTCCTCTCTCTGCCTCTCCTTCTCTCTCAGTGTAACTCTGACTTTCAAATAAATAAATAAAAAGAAAATAGCTTCAGAAAACTAGGAAGAAAAATAAAAATAATGTTTTAGAATTAACCTGTACCATTACCAAGAGAAGAGTAAAATCTTTGCATAATATATATGATAAGGAGTTTCTTATTTTGCATTCGCTATAATATTGTTTTTTTAAATGTTTATTTATTTTTATTTGAAGTCAGAGATACAAAGAGAGAGAAGGCAGAGAGAAAGAGAAGTCTTCCATCCGCAGGTTCACTCTCCAATTGGCCACAATGGCCAGAGTTGCACCAATCCGAAGCCAGGAGCCAAGAGCTTCTTCCAGGTCTCCCACATGGATGCAGGGGCACAAGGACTTGGGCCATCTTCTACTGCATTCCCAGGCCACAGCAGAGAGCTGGATCGGAAGTGGAGCAGCCAGGAGACATGAACCAGCGCCTATATGGGATGCTGGCACTGCAGGCGGCAGCTTTACCTAGTATGCCACAGCGCTGGCCCCCATTTGCTGTAATATTATTATTCTTAGAAGTTTAAACATTAGTGACAGCAAAAATGAATAACTTATGCTCAAAGTTTCAAGAATACCTGAAACCAATAGATCTCACAGTCATTTTCATTTAAACTACAAATATTTTAATGGCCATAAAAATAAAATTATATAAACTTAAGCCTCAGTACATAAAAATGGGCCATCTTTTTTTATCTTTCACATTTAGGACAGGTTACAAATTTATTCATATGCTCATTTCCTTGAATGTTTATAAAAATATGTCAGCTAAAATCTCCAGGCAGGACAGAATTAATGAGTATAGAACTAAGCATTACTCTAAGTGACTAAGTAACTAAGCATTACTCTATGCAAAATTTGGCAGTGCAATTCTTTCCTCAAAGTGCTAAAGATGCATTCCTACCACAAGTATAAAATCCATTTCTTTAGGCTCACATTACACAAACTCAAACTGAGAAACATTCTACAACACAATTGACCTCCCCAAAAGAATCACTTATGAAGGACAAAGAGAAGTTGAGGAAGTACTACTTCAAATTAAAGATTAAATAGTAATGACCACTAAATGTAATATAAGATCAAGGATTAAATACTGGATCAGAGAGAAAGCTTACTATAAAGTACTACATCATACAACTAGCAAAATCTGAATATGGATTATATAATGGTATCTTATCAATGTTGAATTTCCTGAATTTGATTATTGTACTGTGGTTTTATAGAACAGGGACTAAAAAACATTTTATATAAAGAACCAAAATATAAATATTTTAGGCATTAAAGGTCAATATCAATTTTGTCTAATATTTGCACTGCTTTTAACAACCCTTTAGGAATGTAAAAACCATCCTTGGTTCATGTTTTACAGTTGATGAATTTTGCTAATTATTCCTAACTTGCCAACCGCTGATGTAGATAATGCCCTTGTTCTTAGGAAATACACAATGAAGTATGTAAGAAGAAAAGGTCATAACATCTGTTACTTACTCTCAAATGATTCAAGAAAAATAATAATATATGTGAGAAAAAATAAAAGATGTAGCAAAATGTTCATAGTTGATAAATCTAGTGAAAGGCGAAGACAATTCATTGTAGTAGGCTTGCAACTTTGCATTACAGGTTAAAAAAAAAAGCCAGGATGGCCCTAGGAGAGTTGAACCCAGAACCTTCAATGTGCAGGCAGAGGGTATGGTTCTAGAGGCTCAGACAAAAAAAGAATGAAGTCTCCCAAAGCAGAAGTTATCCTGTCATTAAGATCATTTCAATACACACCCATGGGTCCAAAGATATCTAGATTCTCCTGTCATCACCAACAAACTCCGACGAGGCAACATAACTGGGACTGTGATACCATCTGGATGCTTAAAATCCATGACAATCTGGAAGCAAAGACAAAAGCACAAAGATCAACCTAAAGGTTCATATACTACAAGGATAAGAATGATTCACTCATTCTATCTATCCTTTTAGACTAATACAGATTAAAATATGATAATGCTCAAAGAATAGCATAGCACAACCTTTAGTGTACATAACACTCAACTAAATGATGAAAACATACTTCATTCATAAAAATTCAGACTCAGCAGGTACAGAGTGAGGCTCAGGAATCCGCATGTCCAACATTCACCTCAGGAAATTCTGAGGATCATACAATGAAAACTACTACAGTAGTGGTCAAACACAGGGTCTTTGGACTGAAACACTCATATCTCAGCTCTTTCATGAGACTCAGGGCAAGCCATTTACCACCTCTATGTTATGGTTTTCTCAACTACTACAGGGTGGTTAGATGAATTAAACATATAGTGGATATAAATCACACTACCAAGCAAATAGAAAATACAGAAATAAGTTACTAGAAATTTTTATTATTCATAAAATTCTAATAAAAGGAGAAATAACTATTAGATGTAGGTTCTCATATAACATATCATACACCTTTTGAAGTCATGGCAACATATTAGAGACTTATTAATAAGAAAGTGAAAACAGGAAGATTTTCAGCAGCTTTTTCTAAGTTACATTCAAATACTATTTTGAGAGGCCGGCACTGTGGCACAGCGGGTTAACGCCCTGGCTTGAAGTGCCAGCATCCCATATGGGCGCTGGTTCAAGATCCGGCTGCTCTATTTCCAATCCAGCTCTCTGCTATGGCCTGGGAAAGTCCTTGGACCTCTGCACCTGCGTGAGAGACCCGGAAGAAGCTCCTGGCTCCTGGCTTCGGATTAGCGCAGCTCCGGCTGTTGCAGCCAACTGGGGAGTGAACCATCGGATGGAAGACCTCTCTCTCTCTCTCCCTCTCTCTCTCCCTCTCCCCCTCCTTCTCCTTCTCCCTCTCCTCTCTCTGTGTAACTCTGACTTTCAAATAAATAAATAATCTTTTTAAAAATACTATTTTGAATAACAACCTATAAAGATACAATACCCAAGAAGATTTTTTGTAATAGGAGCCCATCAAACACCAAAGACTGCAGTCTAAACACAGTCGCAAGCCAAAAACATGAATTTAAAAGGCAAGTCACAGGGCTAAAAAAATATTCTCAAGTAAAGAAATCAGTCCATTTGAAAAATAAATATGACATACCCGCTTAAGGGAAGAGCATCCCAACTGGCAGTACACTTCAATCCCTACAGTCAAAGCCACTGAGACACCAGCAGATATCACCAACAGTGAATACAGCAGAAATTACACTAAGCATCCACCTGGGACCAAAGTCAGTGCAATCTATCCAACTGATACCCTAGAACATATCAGCAGCAGAAAATCTTTTACTATGAAAGCTATAAAATTGACAGAAGCAACTGACCAATGTAGGGACACAGAAGCATGTAAAAAAGGTTATATGATTCTGCCAAAGAGACACAGTAATACTAGCACCAGATGAAAAGGAAACAAATCAATGTATTGCCTGACAAATGATTTAAAATAATAATTTTAAAGAAACTTAATAAGACAAAGAAAATATAGACAGACAATCTAATGAAATCAGGAAAACAATTCATGAGAAATTTGTCAAAGACGGAGATTGTAAAAAAGGATTAATCAGAAATCTTGGAGCCAAAATACTCGGGAAACAAAATTTAAAAAACAGTTGAGCCGGCGCTGCGGCTCAATAGGCTAATCTTCCACCTGCGGTGCCAGCACACCGGGTACTAGTCCCGGTCAGGGTGCCGGATTCTTTCCCGATTGCCCCTCTTCCAGGCCAGCTCTCTGCTGTGGCCCGGGAAGGCAGTGGAGGATGGCCCAAATGCTTGGGCCCTGCACCCGCATGGGAGACCAGGAGAAGCACCTGGCTCCTGGCTTCGGAACAGAGCAGTGCTCTGGCCACAGCGGCCATTGGGGGGTGAACCAACGGAAAAAAGGAAGACCTTTCTCTCTCTCTCTCTCTCTCTCTCACTGTCCACTCTACCTGTCAAAAAACAAACAAACAAACATACAGTTGAAAGCCTCAACAAGAATTGAGCAGGTAAAAGAAAGAATTCCTAGGGCCAGAGCAGTGGCTGATCCAGCTCTCTGCTATGATCTGCAAAGGCAACAGAAGATGGTCAGGTGCTTGGGTCTCTGTGCCTGCATGAGAAACACGAAAGAAGATCCTGGCTTCTGGCTTCTGGCTTCAGATCGGCCCAGCCCTGGCCATTGCAGTCATTTTGGGAGTAAACCAGTGGATAGAAGACCACTCTCCTGTCTCTCCCTCTATCTGGAACTCTACCTCTCAAATAAATAAATAAATAAATATTTAAAATAAAAAGAAGGAGAAAGAAGAAAGAAGAAGAAGAGAAAGAATTCCTGAGCTTGAGGACAAGGGTTTTGAAATAACCCAAACAGATGGGAAAAAAAAAAAAACGTTTTAATGAAAAAAATCTTTGAGATTTATGGGACACCAATAAGCAAGCAAGCATTCTTATTATGGTTTCAGAAGGAAAAGAGAAAGAAAAGATACAGAAAATCTACTGGATGGAATAACTGCTGAAAACTTTCCAAATCTTGGGAAAGATAAGGACACTCAGGTCCAGCAATCCCAAAGGCTCATCTCCTAATAAATATTATCAAAAAAGCTTCTCTCAGAGGCATACTACAAACTTTCAGAATTATGAGACACAGAAAGAATTCTAAAGGCCAGCACTGGGGAATAATGAGTAAATCTGCTGCCTGCGATGCCACATCCATATGGGTGCCAGTTTGTATCCCAGCTGCTCCATTTATCACCCAGCTTCCTGCTAATGGCCTGGGAAAGGCAGTATAAGATGACCCAAGTGTTTGAGAGCCTGCACCCACACCAGAAACCTGGATGAAGCTTCTGGGGAAACCAACCATTGAAACCAGCTGGGGAGTAAACTAGTAGATGGAAAATCTATTTCTCTTTGTTTTTCCCTCTCTCTCTCTAGTTCTGACTTTCAAATAAATAAATTTTATTTGTTCAAATAAATAAATTTTTTAAAAATAATTATGTATATTTATTTGACAGAGTTACAGACAGTGAGAGAGAGAGAGAGCGAGAGAGAGAGAGAGAGAGAGAAAGGTCTTCCTTCTGTTGGTTCACTCTCCAAATGGCGGCAACGGCCGGTGCTGAGCAGATCCGAAGCCAGGAACCAGGGGCTTCTTCCTGGTCTCTCAGGTGGGTGCAGGGGCCCAAGCACTTGGGCCACAGCAGAGAGCTGAATTGGAAGAGGAACAGCCAGGACTAGAACCGGTGCCCATATGGGGTGCCAGCACCGCAGACAGAAGATTAACCTAGTGTGCCACGGCACTGGCCCCTAAAAATAATTTTAAAAATAGTAAGGGAAAAGCCCTGAGTCACCTATAGAGAAATTCCCACTAGATCAGCAACAGAAACATTAAAGGGAGGACAGAATAGGATGAAATATTCAAAATCCCAGAAGAATAAAAGCACCAGCTAAAAATACTATACCTAGCAAAGATATCCGTCCAAAATGAAGTTTTACTTCTTCCTATGGCAAGTAAAATCTGAAGGAATTCATCATTACCACAATATAAGAAATGGTTGAGAGTTCTATACTAGAAGTGAAAGATGATAACTACCATGATGAAAACACATCAAAGTATGAATCTCAGCAGCATAGCAACTGCAGAAAAAGAAAGCAAAAAAAATCTAATGATTCATATTTCCTTTTTACTTCCTTCTGGATCTCATTTGCTATTCATTTAGTTAGTTTTTTTTTTTTTAACCTGTATTAATTAGAACCATAGTTCTGTAATTTTTTTTCTTGTATTCAACAGGTTCTGATATCAGGGTTATGTTGATTTTTTTTTTTTTTGGACAGGTGGAGTTAGACAGTGAGAGAGAGAGACAGAGAGAAAGGTCTTCTTTTGCCATTGGTTCACCCTCCAATGGCCGCCACGGCCAGCACGCTGTGGCCGGTGCACCGCACTGATCCGATGGCAGGAGCCAGGTACTTATCCTGGTCTCCCATGGGGTGCAGGGCCCAAGTACTCAGGCCATCCTCCACTGCACTCCCTGGCCACAGCAGAGAGCTGGCCTGGAAGAGGGGCAACCGGGACAGAATCCGGCACCCCAACCAGGACTAGAACCCGGTGTGCCGGCGCCACAAGGCGGAGGATTAGCCTAGTGAGCTGCGGCGCCGGCCCCTCTGATTTATTCTTCAAACACTCTCAACAGCCAGGGATGGGCCAGGCCAAAGCCATGAATCGAGAGTTCAATCCATGACTCCCATATGGTTGGCAAGCACCCAATAACTTAAGTCACTGTCTGTTGCCTCCCAGGGTGCACATTAACAGGAAGCTGGATTAGAAGCAAAGTAGACAGGACTCAACCCAGGCACTCCAATATGGCATGCAAGCACCCAAAGCAGAGACTTCAGTGTTGCACCAAATGCCTACACTATGGTTACCTGAATGTGTAGAAGTTTTCAGGGCTAGCTTCATGAACAAACAGGAATGCTCATGGCTCTGTGCTCAAACAGGTCTCTATATAAAGTTTAATGCTCTACTGTCACTATCCTGAATTTCTTGATTTTATTTTTAAACTTCTGTTTGTTAAATGAAGCCTGATGAAATAATGGAGCACATACAGGATCAGAGGAAATACACACGATAAGCCTAACCACAACTGAGGACCACTGCACAACGCACTGTGAATATCCCATGAGTACAGAAAGCATAGGAGTTCAGTGAGACTCACGTTAAGAGAAAAGCATTTTACATCTACAACTGAGTAAGTGGGAACACTGACAGCCTAGAGAAGCCACTAGAGCTTGCTACAAAGGCAGAAAAAAGGCAATGGAGTTCTAAGAAACATAAGCAACCAAGGAAGTATACCATCATTACCTTTCTTTCTTGTGTTACTTTCCTGTATTAGTCAACTGCTTCTAGCAAAAATGATGACATAGAAGGAAA